GTCTCAGAACAATGAACAGCCTTCAAGCATCTGTTCATTGTTCTTCTGACACAAGTAGGGACTGTGCCAATGCCATATCGCCCTCTACCTGTGATCACAGAGATGTTTTGGGGCCCCTCGCTGGGAGGGCAGGCCTTCCATTCCATATCAAAGTGGGGGGAGGGGGAGAGGAGGGACGGAGGGAAGAAGAGAAAGAAATGAAAGAAGAAAGGAAAAAGATTTTCTACATTAATATAAACAAATTAAATAAGCAAGCAGAAACAAAATGAAAAATAGCCATATACAGTGTAGCATACATTAGGTTCCTCGTTGCATGTTACTTGTATACATGAGCAAGAACCCTGGAAAATCTGGGTTCTTGCTCATATATGAGAACCCTTCCTCTTTTCAGATCCATCACTGAAAGCATGAAAGAAATGACAATAGAAGGGGCAGGGCGGTGTGCTATGTTCTCCTTGCTGGGTTGTATAATGTACAACAGGGCAATAAACTTTTGTTCTTGTAATACATTAAAGATTTCACAAGGACAGTCATGATTCACTTCTGCAGAATTGGGGCCTTGAAATTAGATAATTAATTAACCTTGGTTTAATCTTGCAGTAAAAGGTCTTCTAAAGGATGAAATTTTGAACTTTGAAATTAAATATCGCGGCAAAGAACTTCCAGGATTTGTAAATTACAGGACCTTTGAGAACATTGTGAAACAGCAAATTGAGAAACTACAATCGCCAGCTCTTGAGATGCTGAAAGACATAACAGGTATGTTTTACATTGGTAACATAAATTCTGTGCTTAACATCTTGCTTACGTGATATGTCAAAGAAAATTGTTCAGCTTGGAATGCACTCTTTATGGATGTTGCTGATGAAGTACTATTTAATACCAAAATAATGTTTTTTAAAGAGAATAATTTTGAAATACAGTTGTTGTTTTTAGTCGTTAAGTTGTGTCCAACTCTTCGTGACCCCATGGACCAGAGCACGCCAGGCCCTCCTGTCTTCTATTGCCTCCCGGAGTTGTGTCAAATTCATGTTGGTAGCTTTGATGACACTGTCCAACCATCTCGTCCTCTGTCGTCCCCTTCTCCTCTTGCCTTCACACTTTCCCAACATCAGGGTCTTTTCCAGGGAGTACTTCAATTATTAAGTGTACTGTATTCCAGTGTACTGAAGTCTGGTTGCTCTGCAGCTGCAAAAGTCCAAGCCTCTCAGTGGATCATAAGTCATCACCAGATGGGTAGCCTTCAGCTCCAGGCACCTTTGTTAAGGCCCAGAAAGCAATGGAGGTGAATGGGCACCTGATCAGGAGAGACCTGACTTGCAGCGTTGGGTCACCTCCAAAAGGTTCTCACCCCACTGACCCCTCAAGGGTGCCAGCAAAGACCATCTAAAACTGAATATTTGGAGACCTGAGTTCAAGGAACCTCCATTTCCTTGCATCAGGCAGTTCATCCAGAAATAACTGGCTGGATAAAACTCTTTATTTCTTGGGAACTGGGAAGCCCTTTCAGCTGGCAGAGAAATTGCTACGAAGAATAACCTTCTCCCTCTCCACCAGGGCAGCCCTCTGCGCCCCCACACCTCCTACAGTCTCCAAGACCAACATGGGCTGGGTGGCCTTTTGCCTTTCCTGCTCTTTCTCCTTCCCCCTTCTGCCTTTTCAAAGCAGAGCATTTTAGGCGTGGGCTCAAAAAGCCATTAAACACTTGAATTAAATCAACCCCCCCCATAAAACCCAGCTCCCCTTGCAGGGCTCAAGGGAAACTTTTAAGAGAGCTAGTTCACTTTCCTTAGATATGCCTTTTCCCTCTTAGTTTATGGACGTAATAAGAAGGGAATGGGCTAAATCTGGGACCCAGAAACCAGCAAGTCCTACCTCCACCCATTTTTAACAGACTCATGTTCTTTTCATTGATGCACCAGGGACAATAATAGGGTTCTTCCTCCATGCCAGGGAGGGCAAAGCTATGCGTAAACAACAAGAGGGCAGGTGTTCAGAATCCACCTTAGAGAAAATCCACTGAAGCTTCTTCCTTGACTATCAAGGCACCTTCAGCTTCCTCTGTCATGAGCAGAGCTTCTTTCCCATGGACAAGAGAATTACTTCTGTTAATTCATCGAAAAGTGGTTAAGATTAAAAAAAGCATCAAGAAGATTATCGAAGTCTCTGTGCTTGTTGCAGAGGCATCCCTAGATGTACATAATCCAGCGGCACCCAGATCCAAGCTGCAACACCGCTAGTTCTGAGACAGATATGGTTGAAAGACTGTCAGATTGACAGCAGGGCAAATAATAGCGGTGGTGATGATTTCACCTTGCACATTTTAACAGGGAGAAATTTTGGGAATCCCTGGACCCAATTCTGATGGAAACCAAGGATAAAAAAGAAAGCCCTGCCTTAGGAAAGAGGATAAAAGGTTTTCCAAGTTCAGGCACCTTACCCCTTCAACCCTTTTATTATGACAGAACAACATGAGATCAGCAAACCCCCCACTAGGGAGAGAAGAAGTTTGTCCCCAGGCAGCTTAAAGGAGGACTCTTTCAAATCACAGACTGTTCAAAAAAAGCCCAAATGTAAACAGTCCTCAACTGGATGCCTGGCCCCCACAAGTTGGGAGGGGAGGCTGCAGCACATATAGGTGCATGGGACACCCACTGCACAGTTCAGTGGGTACCGCATACATTTGGGGGAGTTACAAGATAGAAATTGGCAACATTCCCCACCTCAAAAAACTTTTTCATACAATTTCCAAGGTCATGGAAGATGGAACGAAAATGGAGGGATACCACCAAATTCTCCAGGCTGTTTCCCAATTGCTAGACATAGAATTAGTGCCATCTGCTCAGAAATTCTTAGACTGCTACTCCGTAATGTGGCCAAGAAAACAGGGCCTCTAAGCCCTGGACTTGGAAAAAGTTAAACAGGTATGTCAGGAAGCATAGATTCAGGGTGGAGGTACAAGCATCATTGGCCCAACCAGAACCATGTATTATTCATAATGACATGGTTACCCTGTGCCTCAGTCCTTGCTTTCTCCCAAAGAGAAACTCCGCCTTTCACAGGTCACAAGAAGTGATATGGCCTTCTTTTAGTCCCTGTCCCTTCAGGCCTCTTGAAAAGATGTGGCATAAATGGATATAAGGAGAACACGGAAACAAACAAAAATCACACATTTCAAACAATCTTCAGGCATATTGATGCCTTGTTTGTATCCTTCCACCATGGGAAAATAGGAATTTTAAAATATAATAAATAATCTTATAACTGCACAATTGGAAGGGGACCCTATGGGTCACTGAGTCCGGTTCCTGTCAAGGAGGCCCAGTGGGGAATTGAACTCCCAGCCTCTGGCTCTGCAGCTGAATTCATAAACCACTGTGTTATCCAATAGTTCAACCCTTCTAGGCGGCTGATAGCATCTGTGCTATCAGAGTTCTGGTTCAAGGCTGACCTGAGGCATCAGTTCTCATCACTCCACTAGGAACACAGCCACATTTTTAACCAGGGCTTCCCCCCCACCCCCGGAGGAAGTTTGCCAGGTGGCCACTTGGATGGCGTGCTCTTGCTTTGTCAGGCATTACTGCATGAACTGCTTACATCAGCTGAGGTGACCTTGGGGAGGAGAGTCCTTCAGCAGGGAGAGGACCTCTCCTAAGCCCAATTCAAATGGTTTTTATAGGGGGTGGTAGGTGAAACTCTCCTTGGTCCCACCCTAGAGTGCTAGGCTTTAGTAAATCACGTATCTTAAGGATGTCCTCCTCTGCCACAGGAAAAAGGACCATTGATACTCACCGTGAAATACTGTATTATGTAGCAGTTGGAGGATATCCTCCCCTTGAGTTACTATGACCAAGTCCTCAGAAGAGACCCTACCGTGTCTGTTTTTTCTTGACTGCACTGTATTGTTCATATCATTCCCTGTTTCTGGTGGCTGGAGATGAAGACTGGTTCAGCCAAGGCTGGTCCCTCCCTCTTAAGGGAGTCCTATTGCCGCCTGATTGGCTGATCAGTTCTGCCTGTGGAAGCGAGGAGGAGGAACAACCCCATCTCTTGAGGATGTTCTTCTGCTACATAAAATGAACGTCTCACTGTGAGTACCAATGTTCTTTTCTATTAATGTTTTTCTCATTAAAACTTTTCCTGTTTTCTAGAACAAGTGCGGGAAACATTTTTTGAAACTGCTACCCAACAATTTAGTAGTTTTTACTTTCTTCTCCGAGCTGCTCAGGTAAGAAGTCATTTAATTTAGCATGCCATGCATAGGGACTCTTCCAGATAGTAGAAGACAATTCCACAAAAGCAGGATCAGTCCTATTATTGTGCTTGCCATCAGCCATCAATAGTAGCACTGCATCAAGTGATGTTTTTCACTTCTCAGGATTCTGTTTCTGAATGAGAGAAGGAAAAAGCAGTTTTTCTCCCATCCAAAACCACTATGTATTTATTCATTTTTCTGGAAGTAAAAATGGATGAGGGAAGAAGGAACCTGGGGTTGTCTGCAATGATTTGTCTTTTTTTTTGCAAAATGTAAGGGGCAGCTATTTGTCATTAAAGGGGATGTGGAGGCGCCGTGGGTTAAGCTGCAGAGCCTCTGGGCTGCAAAGTCGGAAGCTCAGCAGTTCAAATCCACATGACAGAGTGAGCTCCCATCACTTGTCCCAGCTCCTGCCAACCTAGCAGATCCAAAACATGTAAAAATGTGAGTAAATAAATAGGTACCACCATGGTGGGAAGGTAACAGTGTTCTGTGTCTAAATTGTGCTGGCCACATGACCACAGAAACTGTCTATGGACAAACGCTGGCTCTACAACTTGGAAATGGGGATGAACACCACCCCCTAGAGTCGGACACAACTGGACTATTTGTCAAGGGGAACCTTTATCTTATTTGTAATTAAAGGATGGGTAGACAATTGGTATGAGCAACAAAGATCATGGAGATAAGGGCCAGGGAGGAAGGTAGCAGCTGCCATTGACTCATACCAGCATGAACACAAGTTTGCTGGGTCTTCCATGATGCTTTTAATCTTGGCCAGACCAACACTGTCACAACCACTTATGCTACTTTACTACCAGTCTTTACTGACTTTTTATGTAATATGTAGGAAAGTAGTGTGTCCCTATGATGTTGATGGGAGCAACTTTCAGTTTATAAAGTTTATATTACTCACAAGCTCTTGTATGACAGGTTTGAATATATTTCTGGGGGAACTTTTTGTTGAAATGCAGCTGTGTGGAGACTTTTCTTTTAGAAATATGTCAAAAAGGTGTGATGCAAAGTTTCTCAGGGAAAGCTTTTAGTTGGCTAGCTAGCTGAGTAATTCGAATACGTATGTATACCACAATAATGCAGAAGTGGTTTTTTTGTTTTGTGTGTGGGGTTGGTTGTTTGTTTTTTGTATTTTCCCCCCTTCTTCTTGCCTTCTTTCAAGTGTTTAGCTCATAGTTGTGTGTCTTGGAGATGAGACTAGAATTTCTGGGTAGCCCCCCTCTCTTATTAGAAAAGCCCTCTTGTTTAATTAAGGGATCCTGCCTGTCTGAGAAGATGGAAGAGACAAACCCACCAGAAATATGCTGTTCCACTTATGTAGAAAAGGAATGCATTACAGTAAGTTCCAATAGGAATGGGCATGAACTGCTGGTTCAGTGGCCAAGCAGAAAATAAGTGGGTGCCTGCTGCAGCGGGTGGGGCACCAACTTGCAAATCAGGTGTTCAGCTGGAAAACTGATACCACCAAATTGGTGGTTTGTGCCCATCTCTAAGTTCCAACATTATTTTCTGCTTGCCACAATATTTTTTTCCTTTTTGTTGTACAGACCAGCATTGAAGATATCAGAGAGAAGCAACAGGAGACAGCAGAATCAATTATCAAGGATCAGTTTAAACTGGAAAATGTTGTGTATTGTCAAGACTATATTTATAGTGAAGATATAAAACAGGTTAGAGGAAGAGGTTCAATTTTGCAAGTTATTGCGCCAAAGCGTTTTCTGAATCCTGCAGACAAATGTTCAATGGAGGAGATGGCTTACCACCTGAATGCCTACTTCAAGGTAAGTTGCCATTGTATTTTTCACTCTTTCACAAATTGCAACCTGGAACAATTAGTACTGCGATTAACTAGGATGTAGGGGTATAGTAAATGCAGCAGTGACACAAGAATATATTATATCGCATTCTGCTCTGAAGCAGGACTGCCTGTTTAGTTGTTGATCTTTGTTTTGTTTTAGATTCCTTTGGTAACTCAGCCTTTCTTTTCTTTGGCCATATCTAAATGGCTGACATCTTTTCGAGAGGGTTCGTTTGCAATCCTCCCTAGTTCTCGGTCTTGGTTTTAATCTTCCAAAAAAGTGAATAAAACAAAATACTAAAATTTCTCTTTTTGTTTTCAGAGTGCAGGAGTCCGACTTGGCACACAAATTCCCATGATAATTCAGAAGTACATTCTCCAGGATTATGCAGAGGGGTTACAGAATGCAATGATGGGGCTTTTACAGGATAAAGATCAGTACAATGTTCTCCTTCAAGAGCAAAAAGATGTTGCCAGTAAGAGGGTCTCTTTAAAGGAGAGGCTCAAGCGTCTCACCAGAGCTCGCCAGCGCCTAGCAAAATACCCGAATTAAACAAGAGGTGTTTCTGAAATAATCCCCTCCCTCCTCCAGTTTGAGGACGTAGATGGTTTAACTCTGTGTCCAGCCACTAGAGATTTTATGTCAAAGGTAGTGTACCATAAATTGTGGCAGCAACTTGCAGCTAATTAACAAGAGACCAGTTGCCTAGCTGGTTGGGCACCTGCTCTCATGACTGGCGTGCAAATAGGCACTATACTAACACCTCAACAATTGGCTGCCCCAAAGTAAACTCTTAGTGGGACTCTGTTGCGAATGCAGCAAGATTTATTTCCCAACCCAGTCCCAATAACTGATTTTAAAAGCCATAAATTGGACATTAATACTTCAAATAGCAACTTCAAAAAATGGCTTCAAAAACACATACAGTAGGACCCCTGCATCTGTGGGATTGGTATCTATGGTTTCACTGATACGCAGTCTGAAAATATTAAAAATTTTGAAAGAAAAAACCCAGAAACACGTTCATTATGTAGTTGCCAGAACTGGCCACCAGAGAGAGCCAGAGACAATGCTATGTATAGTCACTATGCTATGTATGTGCCAGTTCCACACCCCCAATCTACTTAATATCTAATATGTTTTCCATATTTTCCTGTGTGCACATTACAAATATGAGTTATACCACCCTGATTAAACCCAGACAGAAGTACCTTTTATTTTTGAGATGGTTTAGCCATCACCATCGATAATCAACTATTATTTCATTACTCTTGCTATGCATGCAATTTGTGTTTTTTTGTTTAAATTGAACATTCTTGTGCTTACATATAAGGGATGGTTCTGCGTAAAAGGAATGACTTCATTTTGTGAATAAGCCTGTACTTTCTGTGATTCACCTTGGCATTTATCAGGGTAAACTCAAGATAAAGTAAGGAAAAAGAAACAACACAAGAAATCTCCTTTTTAGCAGGGAAAGAATGGAGATTAACTCTGGGGAAAACAATGATGTGTCACTAAAGGTTGTGAGAAAGCTTTGAGAGTTTGTGAACCATCATAAATCTCTTCCTCTTATGTCTGATTAAGTTGACTTGTTCATGAAAGCTTGCATTAAAAAAATAATAAAGTTAGTCTTTTTATGTGTATGTTCCATTTTTTTGTTCATATAACAAAATATAACAAAAACATAAATGACAAATAAAATCACAACTCGAATATACAATATAACTCACCACCATCAGGAATATAAATTTATCAATATCAATTCATCAATATATTTTTGTGTTGGGGCATAACCGTTACAGTTTGTAAATGCGTATTCTATATAAGGTTTCCAAATCCCATTAGAACTATTTTCCTTCAATAATCCTTTTCTCACTTTCAATTCAGAAGTTACTTTATTATTAATAGCTAGATTCCACATCTCATTATACCATTCTTCCAACATCAATTGATAATTATTTTTCCAATTCCTTGCAAATATAAATCTAGCTGCTGTTAACATAGTAACAATTAGTTCCATTTTCCCTAATCTAACTGATATTTAGATATCAATTTCCAAACATATTTAACAATGCTAACATTAGACATCTTTGTATATCTGTCCGTACAATTTCTTTAATCTCATTAAATATAATCATCCATATCTGTCCGTACAATTTCTTTAATCTCATTAAATATAATCATCCATTCCGTCTCTCTTCACATCCCACCACATATGATAGTACAGTGGACCCTTGACTTACAGACGGCTTGACTTACAGACTTTTTGAGTTACAGACTTCTCTGGCCGCAAAATTTAGGTTTGACTTGCAGACTGAGATTTGACTTACAGACCAGAAAAAAAAAACCAAAATGGAACAAAAACGGCCTGTTACGGGATTAATCGGTTTTCAATGCACTGTAGGATAACATTTTTCCTTTTACAATTTTCCTTTATAACAGTTTCCTGACTGACATATTTTTCATGATTTCCCCCCCAGATGCTCTTCCAAACCTCCTCACTGATTTCTTTATTTAAATCTCCTTGCTCCCCCCAGATGTTCTTCTATACCTCCTCACTGATTTCTTTATTTAAATTTCCTTGCCATATTTCTTTCAAAACTATTGTTTATTATTCATTATCTACTAATATCGTCATCTAGTGTACTAACACTTATTATCCCTTTTCCATTATTATTATTATTATCATCCATCTGTTCCCTCTTTTCAATAATTTCTTCAAATTTAGTCATCTTTTTACATTCTCCTTCTCCCCGCCCCCATTCCTTGGTCCAGTTATCTACAAGTCTTATATTTAACCAAGTAATTCCTTCTCCTCTAAGTATCTCTTTTATTCTCTCTATATTATATATCTTTTTATTCCAGTCTTTAATTTTTATAACTTTTTGTTTGAACAAAACCTTATATATATTTTAGGTTACCTGGAAAACTCTGTAATTCTGCCATGTGTGTCAATGGAGAAATTTTGGACTCAATATTCTCTTATACTTATTCCAACATTGCAATATCTTATTTAAAAATGGGTTATCTATGTTTTCAATAATATCCTTTAAATTTTCTTTAAAAAACAAATTCTCCATATTTTCTTTAATCTTGTAAATCTCAAGATCACTCCATATTATCCCCTTACTGTTTACTATAATTTCTGGTATCTAAAATATCTAAATTGATGTGCTATGTAATATAATTTAATATCAGGTATACCAAAACATCCATTCTTTTGAGGAAGATACCATAATTTTTGTTTATCCTTGCCCTTTTATTTTCATTACAGTACGTATTAATCACATTCTGCAATTCTTTTAATTCTTTATTAGCTATCTTTATGGGTAATGTCCAAAATACAAAATGTAATTTTGGTATTATCTTCATTTTTATTACTGCAGTTCTTCCAAACCAAGATAACTTCCAACTTTTGATATTCTTTAATTTGTTCCTTAATTTGTTTTTTCAGTTTTTCCAAATTTATTTTAACAATTTCTTGCAGGTTCCAAGTAATATTTATCCCTAAATATCTAATACTATTTTTAGCTTGCCCTCAAATATCTCTTTCCATTTATTCCTTTCTTTATCATCATAATTTGCTAACATAAATTCTGTTTTACTCCAGTTTACCCTTAGTCACATTACTTCCTCAAAAAGTTTTAAAGTTAGTCTTTAAGGCGCAACCATGTTTCTGACGTTTTTCACTTTTTATTTTTATTTTATTTTTAACCTATAAAATAAACAAAAAAGTTGTGGGAGTTGCATTCAAATGTTACTGAATCCTCCTTAGCTCTGCTAAGCTTCAGCAGTTGAGAGGAAATGTTCTGTACACGCTATACCTGACCTGTCACAATGCTATAAATCCGTCAAAAACTTCAGTTGGCAGAACAAAAGGTCACTGTGACTGTTGGCAAAAAGGAAGGGGTGGGGAAAATTGCTGTCTGGGAAAGGGTGTGCAAGCTAAGTGGTAAGAGGTTAGCTGAAGAGAGGGACAAACACTTCCTCTGGGGGTGAGGAAAATCCATGGCCATAGATGAATAGGGGTCTGATTTAATATGTCTGAAGTTGGATAGTCAGTGTGGTGTAGTGGTTAGAATGTCGGACTATGACTCAGGAGATCTGGATTAAAATCCCCACTTGACCCTGGAACTCACTGGGTGATCTTGAGCCAGTCTTTCAGCCTGGCCTGCCTCTCAAGGTTGCTGTGAAGGTAAAGTAGGGAGAGGAGAGTAACATAGGCCACTTTGCACTCTACGAAGGAGAAGCAGGTTATAACTGCAATGAATATGAACAAAAGGCAGTAAATAATAATTTTATGCTATTTAAAATTTACATACTATATAAAGTAGAACTTTAAAAAGCTATGTTACTTCTAAAATTTGATCCTCCAGTTAGCACGGCTGATGGGATGGGGTCTTGGAAATTTAGATAAAAAAATAAATTACTGTTAAGTCTTGATTTTTGAGGATTTTAGGAAATTTGAGTTAGTCTCCGGCAGAGGATCGGACACATACGAGCCAGCTGTGATACAACATGTTTTTACTAAGAAAACAAAAGTATGCCAAAGCAGACAGCTGGGGCTCCTCTCATAAAGACTGAGAAGGCCCTGAAAATACATTGGTAGGTATATATATGCTATTTACAAATAGGGAGTCATAAACCACCAAACCATGATTGGGCCTAATCTGCAACACGTTTGGACCCTTGCCCTAATAGGTGTTTGGTCTGTGATCTGATGACCCATTGGTTCTTGACAGGAAACGGAGAATGACGGTGGTACCCCCTCCTCTTGCCTATTGTCCTTCTAATTTCCAGACATCCTGACATCCCAGATGTGTATTCCTCATCTATATGTTGGTGTTGTTCTTCCTGAGGACTGAGGATCTCAGGAAGTTGTGTTGCGAATGGGCCTCTTCACACCTCCTCTGTAACATCTTGCAGGATTCCAGTGTGTTTGGAGGTTACGTCAGCTCGAGGTCAGCTCAAGTTCGCTGCCTTTGGTTTGAGGAACATTATTTCTATAGGTGTGCTAAATTACTATATGTGCTATATGTTTCACTAAGGTAAAGGTCCCCCTTGACATTTTAGTCAGTCGTGTTCGACTCTAGGGAGCGGTGCTCATCCCCGTTTCCAAGCCGTAGAGCCAGCGTTTGTCCGAAGACAGTTTCCGTTGTCACATGGCCAGTGCGGCTATACAGTGAACGCTGTTTACCTTCCCACCGAGGTGGTACCTATTTATCTACTC